ACGGCTTTATTACCTCATATGCAGCTCATCTTAAACCAATAGAATCGCTCGGTGGACGAGAGTGTCTGACTCAGATATCTACCTCGGAGGGAGTTTCTGCTACTTTAGGGAATTGTTGACTGGGCTTTGGGATTTTTTTGTTGTTTTTTGTTTTTGTTTTTAAAGAAACGAAACCCTGGGATCCATCTGTATCGTCTTTTATTTTTATTTTTTGGTGGTGGTGGTGGTGGCTCTTAATTTTTTAGTATGGGGAAGTAGTTTTGTTTTCTTTTTTAAAATAAACATACTTTTTTAATATAATTTCTTGCTTTCCCATATTAGAGGTGATAGCCAAAGGGGTCTCCATAAGAGAAAGGGGAACCAACAATACCAGTGAAGAAGCCCACCTGGCTCTATGCCTGCTCATCAGAAAGTGAATTTTACAGAACACCAAGCCCTTCCCTCTAAAATCACTTAGGTGTTCTTTGCTTATGCAGGCAGTTTCTGTTGTATTTGGAGCAGTGGCAGTAAGGGGTTTGCCTTGCTGGCCCCCTATATCCAACCCCCTTCCCACAACCCTTGGGCAGGGCTAAACTCAACAATTGAAGAAATTGAAGTTGCCACCTTCCCCATGTGACACATCTTTTAATTAAATCTTTTTTTTTTCTTTAATTGTCATTTGCAGATTGGAGGATAAAGAACAGAGAGGGGATTCTTGCCAAATATGTTAAATATGGGTTGGGTGCTTATATATGTATTTCCCTCAGTTTCCCCAAAAATGAGGTATCTTTTTTTCTCACCAAAATCAAGGGGGTGGGGAGAGGTGGGAGGTTGCAAAAATCCAGGTATGGGGGAAGAAAAAACACTGTCCCATCCTTGGCCCTGAACCCTACTATCTAATCCCCTCAAACATCCTCAGGATTTTACAAGACTGTCAAGAGTGGGGAACCCCTCCCATTAAAGATCCTGGCAGGATTGGGGAACAGGTTGGGAGTGTGATGGGTGGGGGGGTGGGAGGCACGGGGCCAGGGGCAGTTCTCTCCTCACTTGTAAACTTGTAGTTTCACAGAAAAGAAAAACAATTCAGTTTTAAATAAAGAAATTTCTTTTTTCCCTGGGTTTAGTTGAGAATTTTTTTTTCAAAAAATGAAAGACCCTAGAAGAAAAAATTTTTCTCTCAAAGCCCCAATAGATTTCTTCCCAGTCCCCTACCCTGTTCCTCATCATTCAGGCCCCAAGTCCATCCCTGGAGACAACAGCTGAACCCTGTTGCTTAGCAACCATGCCTAGTCAAAATGGGGCTCCAGGCAGCCCTCAGCAAAGGAATGATGGAATATGAATGCAGTGGGGGGCTCTAAGAGAATGAGACCTTAAGAGGTACACTCCTCACCCCCAGGGAAGTGGTTGTGTCCAGAGTTGGCAGTGCCCAAGGGTGAGGTAAGAACTGCTTCTCCTAGCACCTGAAGGACTCTTATTCAAGAAGCATGAATTCCTAGCATTCCCTGCAAAGGGACAAGACTGGGAGATGGGGGTAGGGGAGTGGGTGCAAGCCCCACCCAGGGCGGTGACCACTAAAGGGAAAGGGACAGACAGGAGCCTAGGAAAGAAGCAGGATGGCAGCAGGGGCAACGGCTGGAACCTGGGTGCTGGTCCTCAGTCTATGGGGTGAGCCATTCCCTGCCCCCAATGATTCTCCCTGGAGAAAACACTTTGCCCATAATTTCCCTGGAATTTTTCTAGATCTTGGACACTTGCTTTCAAGTTCTTAACCCACGCTCCCCTAATTTCATTAGCCTATCTCCCTTCCTGCCCCTTCTACCTCAGTGCTGTTTCCCAGGGGCAGTAGTAGGCGGTCAAAATATCACAGCCCGGATTGGAGAGCCATTGGTGCTGAACTGTAAGGGCGCCCCCAAGAAACCACCCCAGCAGCTGGAATGGAAACTGGTAAGCAGGGCCCTGTCCCAATTTTCATAGAGACCTGTGATAGCTTGCATCCCCATCACTGTTCGATCAGACTTTCCCAGAGAACTGGCATTGCTCAGGCCCTTCTCTGTCTCCAGAATACAGGCAGGACAGAGGCTTGGAAGATCCTGTCTCCCCAGGGAAGCCCCTGGGATAGTGTGGCTCGTGTCCTCCCCAATGGCTCCCTCCTCCTTCCAGCAATTGGGATCCAGGATGAGGGGACTTTCCGGTGCCGGGCAACCAACAGGCATGGAAAGGAGACCAAGTCCAACTACCGGGTCCGAGTCTACCGTAAGGGTTCCAGGGCCTTACCCAAGGCCCACTTATCTAAGAAAAAACTTTCACTCCCAGCCCTTGACTTCTTGGCCCTGGTGTGTGAGGACCTCTGACTTCACTACCTACACTATCACACCTGGAGAGTGGGAACCTTCAAAGCTGCAGCCTCTGACTGGACTTTTCCCTCCTGCAGAAATTCCTGGGAAGCCAGAAATTCTAGATCCTGCTTCTGAACTCATGGCTGGTGTCCCGAATAAGGTAGTGGAAAGAAGCGGGAGAAGCAGAAAGTGGTGCTGTGAATGTGGTTATGTACTGTATGAATATATCTCACATTTTCAATGATGAGGTTACCACTCTTTCTTCAGGTGGGGACATGTGTGTCCGAGGGAAGTTACCCTGAGGGAACTCTTAGCTGGCACTTAGATGGGAAACCCCTGATACCTGATGGAAAAGGTGAGTCCCCATGTGCACACACCCCTGCCCCACAGCTTCCTTCTTCTTAGATCAATATCTCCCACCTGGATGTCTTCTCTTGTCCTCCCTCCCATAGGAGTGTCTGTGAAGGAACAGATCAGGAGAAACCCTGAGACAGGGCTCTTCACACTCCAGTCAGAACTGATGGTGACCCCAGCCCAGGGTGGAAATGCCCACCCCACCTTCTCCTGTAGCTTCAGCCCAGGCATTCCCAGGCGCCGGGCCTTGAACACAGCCCCCATCCAGCCCATTGTCTGGGGTGAGCAGATGGGGAGAGCCCCAAGTTCAAGTGAACATGTTCTGGAAGTATGGTCCTCCCGGAGGCAGGGGTTAAGCCCACACTCACCGTGACCACTCCCAGGTGTTAACACTCAACCTCGTGCCCCTTCCTGCCCTCAGAGCCTGTGCCTCTGGAGGAAGTTCGATTGGTGGTGGAACCAGAAGGGGGAGCAGTAGTTCGTGGTGGGACCGTGACCCTGACCTGTGAAGCCCCTGCCCAACCCCCTCCTCAAATTCACTGGGTGAAGGATGTGAGTGACCAGGGGGAGCTGGGAGGTAGAGTGGCAACTGGAAGAAGTAATTGGCAATTGGAAGAAGGGCAGAGGCTAATGGAGGAAAGGTGGGCAAGGAGCTGCGAAAGAAGACAGGGTATCTTAGGCAGTGGAGACATGTGGATGGGGATTTTGTAATAGCCTAGTGTCCTCCTTCCTCCACCAGGGCATGCCCCTGCCCCTTCCCCCTAGCCCCATCCTGCTCCTCCCTGAGGTAGGGCCTCAGGACCAGGGGACTTACAGTTGCGTTGCTACACATCCCAGCCATGGGTCCCAGGAAAGCCCTGCTGTCAGCATCAGCATTACAGGTAAGACCATTTCCCAAATTCCTGAGACCCTGGGCCTGGGATGAGGGACATAGTAGGCTCCAACTCTCTATCCCCTTCTGGCATTATCCCCAAGAGCCATCCTACCCCACCCTCAATGCACCCGCACCCAGGTCTCTGCCCCACCCAAATCCTGCCAAGAGAACAGCCCAGCTTCTCTCCTCTGAACCAGAGGGAAAGACTCCACTGTCGCTCCCACAAAATAGTCCTTTCCCAAACTGAAGTCTTTCCTTCTGACTTGCCCCAACTTTTTCTTCTAGAAACTGGCGAGGAGGGGCCAACCACAGGTGAGGGATTGATTGGAACACAGTCAGAGAAAAGCAGATAGTCCCTTCCACATGGACTGGGGAGATGGTCAACAAGAAAGGAATAGTGGGAGGACAGCAGAATAGAATAGACAATATGATTGATATATGTACATTCCATGTATGTATTATATGTCAAAATACATTCTGCTGTCATGTATGACTAAAAAAAATTAAAATAAATCGTATGGTTAAAAAAAAAAAAAAGGAATAGTGGGGCTGGGGTTGTAGCTCAGTGGTAGAATGCTTGCCTAGCATGTGTGAGGCCCTGGGTTAGGTCCTCAGCACGGCATAAAGATAAATAAATAAATAAAATAAAGGCATTGTGTCTCATCTACAACTAAAAAAAAATAAGAAGAAAAAAAGAAAGGAAGGAATGGTAAAAAGTGAAGGTTGTGCCCTCAATTTTCTCTATCTCCTTACAGGATCTGTGGGAGGATCAGGGCTGGGAACTCTAGCCCTAGTTCTGGGGATCCTGGGAGGCCTAGGGATAACTGCCCTCCTCATTGGGATCATCATGTGGAGAAGGAGGCGACGCCAAGGAGAGGAGAGGTGAGTGAAGAAAGCCACACGCCTCAGATTTAGAGCTTCCAGGCAGCCAGTGAGGGGTGTGGGGGATGGAACAATGGAGAGCTAGGAGCCATATGTGGAATTCTCCCCAATCCTCCTTAGGAAGGCCCCAGAAAACCAGGAGGAAGAGGAAGAACGTGCAGAGTTGAATCAGTCAGAGGAGCCGGAGGCAGCCGAGAGTGGAACAGGAGGGTCTTAAGGGGACCCCAGACAGATCCTGTCCTTCAGTTCCCTTGCTTTTTTCCCTTAAACTGTGCTGGTCCTAAACCCCGTACAATCTCTAACCCACCTCAACACACTTTCTTCCACAACCAGAGCCCTCCACAAACCATGCTGAATAAACACCTGATACATCTTGCCCATACTGCTGTGTCTTCTGTTTATGTGTATGTGTGTGTGTGTGTGTGTGTGTGTGCACGTGTGTGTGACAGAGAAAGAGAGAGTGTGAAGGGGTTGGGGGAGGGACTTATCACCAAACATCTATTTAAGTTAGGGTGAAGAGGCTTCTCTCCTGGAAGGAAGAAGAGAAGGAAGAACTTGGGAAGAGTTCCCATCAATACATTTTACCTTTTTTATTGAACTTGTAATAAAGGAGGTAGTGGGGGGGGGTGTTTAAAGTCAAAACTCATATTAGGCACTGGGGAGAGAAAAATTAAATTAAATCACAAAAGGAATGGAGGAAAGTCAGAGGGAGCCTTGCCCACCTTTCAACATCAAATCAAGAAATCAGGGGAAACAAAACATTAGGTGAGAGGAAAAAGGGCACTCTTTTCAGTCTGCCCTCCTTCCACAGGGCTGGACTATTACCCAGCAAGAGAGTGAGAGAGTTCAGAGGCGGGTCTCTCATCCTATGCACAGTTGTTGCTGCTCCTTCCCATGCCCTCCTGGAGAGTGGCCTCAGCCAACAGAAATGGAGGGGTCAGGGAATGGGGTTCCAGAAGTAAGGAAGGGTCAGCAGGGACCCCCAATACTGATTCTCCTCTGGCTGGAGGTGGGCAGGAAGAAGACATAGCTCAAATACTGAGCAGCCAGAAAAAGAAGAAAATGGCGAGAAACAGGAAGAGGGAATCCTGCCAGCTGGAGGCCGGGTGACCCTGTCCCAGATCCACACCTGTGGGAGAAAGGAAAGCTGCAGAAGCACATACTCCTAGGCCACAAGGGAACCTGGTGGGGGTGGGGGATGGTTGAGGGGATTCCCTGAGAAGAGCTAAGGGAAGACTCTTACCTGCACCCCTGCGGAAAGGCTCATGAGCATTGAAGACAGTGGTGAAAAAGCCAAAGGGAAAAGCACCAACACCAAATGAGAAGTGAAAACCCCCGGTATCTCCAAATGGCTGGAATCCCTAGGGAAGAGACAAAGTCAGGGGAACTAGGCATATCTTTGGCAAGGAAGGGATACAACTGGACAAGAAGACTCACCCCTCTGCTCTCTGGAGCTGGTCGCTGGCCCTGGGGGCGGGGTGGAGTTTTCAATCTGAGGGTGAGAAGAGAAGACTGTCAAGAGTGTTCTTTTCCTCTCTTCTTTGACACCCTCTTCCTGGGACAGAAGCCTTCATCCTTGCCTCAACACTACCTCTAGTCTCTCACCTGGGATCCTGGGGCTTCTGGCTCCCTCGCCCATAAAGCGGGACAACCTTCTCTCTGCTGATACCAGCTTTACACACTGGGCACTCTTGCCGCTCTGGCCGTGTCTCCAGCCACTGGAGAGAAACAAATGCAGTGATTTCAACTACATAGAAGGGTCTTCCAGCTCCTCAGACCTCCCCATTTCCTTTCCATATCCTGAGTACGCACCTGATGAAGACAGGGCCAACTGGATGGGGGGGAGGGGGAGAAAAAAAATGGTCAAACTAGCTACAAAAAAGACACAGACCCCAGACTTAACAGAATCCCACCTCTCCCATCTTCCCAGATATTACCTGCTATTTCTTTTCATATTTTCTGCAACATCTACCACACTAGCCAACCTGGCCTTCCTGTTTTACTGATCTAACACCTAAAGCTCTATCCATCCACAATACACTCAACCTTCTCCTCTCCTCCAACCCTCCCTCTCTTTTCTTTCAACTTAATTTTCAATTTTCTTCAACCCACCCCTTTCCAGATCCAACCCCTTTTAGCCCCCATTCTTCCAGACCAAACCCCCTTTGCTAGCACATTCCCCCCCCCCATTACTCTCACTTTTAAGCTTATTCAAGTTTCTTTTTCCACAACGTTTTCTCAATCCTGCCCCTCCACGGTCCATGTCTCCAGGTTTGTCTACTACCTACTTCCAGATCTCATTTGAATGTGAGCCCATATTCCTTGGGTCTCCTCTATTCAACTGATGCATGCCTGTCCTAACCTTTGAGTCTCATCCGTTTCTACCTGTTCAGTTAAAAAAAAAAAACTATTTTTCTCTTCTACCTTTTTTATTGGTGCATTATAATTGTACATAATGATGGGATCTGCAGTTACACATTCATACATGCACACAATATAAGAATTGGGCCAATTTAGTTAAAAAATTCTTAACTTCCTTGGGATAAGGTGCCCTCAGGTCCCACCTGCACAGATGTGTAGTTGTCCCCATTCCGGTCCAACCTCCTCCTTATAATACACCACACACGCACCAGCTCCTATCCTAGTTCCTGAGACTGTCCTTTCCACAGATCTACAGACGATCCCTCCTCCCACACATAGCAGAAAAGACGTATGTTCCCCTCCTCAGGCCTCACCCACAGAAATGGACCCTCCGATTATCAATGTGATTGTAGGGTTCCCCGCTCCCAGGCTCTCCAGTATAGAGGTAAGCCCCACCACCTTCAGCCCGGATCCCAGACTCTCACCAGTACAGGTGGCCACACACACTGACCACAGCTTCCCGAGCGGTCTCCAAACATATATTACATTCGAAGGTCGCGCCCGCCCCGCCCCGATCGCGGTTTGGCCCTTCGGGGCCCCCGTCCTCCTCTTCTGCTGCTGCCATGGCCGGTTCTGTTTCGCCCCCGCGCACCCCTCAGTCCCCCTAAACACACACGCCCCAAAAAACAAGAAGCCGCCTCCTGCCCACGATCGTTGGGCAGGCTTCAAGGTTTTCTAATCGCTATTGGTCTAAATGCTTGCCAATCACATAAGATTCAGGAGAAAGGATTGGCCCAAAGGGTGGGGGCGGCAAAAGGTTTAGGCGGCCCTGCCCTTCAACAATGATTATTGGTTGATATAGTCACTGTCAGTATGCTACACCAAGGGATTGGTAACAAGTCGCTAAACTGGGTCCTGTCACCCGGCCAAGGAGGGTTTTATTTGTCTGAGCAGATGCCACTCATAACTAAAGGCCAGAAGCAATTGGTTCGGGACTACTTGAACTCACCCACTATATTAAGCCCCTTTCTTTCCTTCATTTCCTCTTTCAAAGAATGTCCGGATTCCTATTGGACTTTGGAGCGTATAAGCGATTGGCTGGAACTCCACGGAAAATGGTGGTTAAGGAAAATGCGCCTGCGCAGCACGCGGCGGGATGGGATGGACCGACTCTATGAGGGTTGAGCCTTCTCTGGTCCCACCCCTTCATCTCTATCTTGTCGCCATGGTGACTGCTCTACAATTGGCGGGTCTTGCAGTTCAAAGGCTTTGGCTCGGCCTCATCCGGGTCCTTCGGCTGTGGCCTTTTTGGGCTGATTGGGCTGTTTTCTTTGCCTGTGATTGGCCGAAGCCGGAAAAGCCGACGCAGATCTCGGAAAAGAGGGCAAAAATACTAGGGTCGCGGGGTTCAAAATGGCTCCGGCCTCTTTGGGTGACGTAGAGGGCAGAACTTGGGTCCACCCCTCCCTCTTCGTGAAGAAGGGAGCAGAATTGGGATTAGCCCGACGTTTGGATGGTGCGAACTTCGACCTTCGGCGCTGGTGTTAACCTAACTCTTTCAGCTGGACGATTCAGCCCGCCCCTCTTTAAGTGATCTACGAACAGAATAGAGTTAAAGGCCCACCCCCTTGTTCATGTGACTCGGAGCGGAACAGTCGACCACAGCTCTGTCCTAAACCTTAACAGAAAAGGTCTGGTTCCACCCCTTTATGAGTGGGTGCGGAAAGGGCAAGGCCCGCCCCATTTTAGGTGACTTTAGGCCCGCCCCTTCCTTCTTGTAGTTTGCCCAGCAGAACTGGGGTCTTCTTCCTGGGCTGGACCCCTGGGAGCTTGGGCCTTTCCTACAGTGGCCCTCACTGTGTGGCCCAAGGAGCAGAACTAGGTAACAGTTCTCTTATCAGTGTTCTATACAACCTCTTCACCAGGGCATGTAAACGCATGCAGGGTATAGGTGTTCCTGGGGGCGGGAGGCAGACAGAGGCTGAGGGCAGCTAAGCAACACCCTGAAAAAAGGTTCCATGTGATTCAATAAGAAAAGATGAGAAGCTGGAAGAACTAGGGAGGTGAGGATTTAGGAGACTTGAAGAAGTTTAGGAAATAAGATATTGAAATGGAGAGATGGAGACCCAGGAGGGAGGAGTGATGGGATGGATGATCCTGATAATGGGAGTATGAGAAAGAGAGGTGCAGGGACTGAGAGCTGGATACAAAATTTAAAGAGGAATACTTACCCAAAAAAATCACCATGCTTCCTTACTCTCCCTCCCACCCCGCCAGGAAGCAGTATCTTAATACCCAAATTCCATTGGAAGAAAAAAATGCATCCAGATTCTTTGTTGGGGGAGGGAATTGTCTCAGCTTATTGAGTAAAGAGACTGATAGGAACTTGGAAAAATGTGCTGAGGTAAAAGTGAATGGAAGTGATGGACCGGGAGAAGGCTAGATAGGGTGAGAGTGGAGGAGGGAGTCTGATTGCTGAGAGATGGGGCTGGGGGGAGGGAGGGACAAAGGGCAAAAAGACCAGACCAGAGAGCTGGAGGGCAAGGTGGGGAGAGATGGAGTCCTGAAGAGAAAAAGAAAAGAGGTGAACTTATTGCTTGGGATATATTAGGTGCTTGATATGATAAATGTTTGGGATTGAATGGGGGACAGGAGAAGCGGTCTTTGAGAAGAGCTGAGGGGACGGGGACGAAGCACAGATAAAGGAGTTAAGGAGAAAAAAAAAATCAGAGTAAGTAAAAATGGCACACACCTGTCACCCCAGCCACTCTGGAAGATCGCAAGTTGAAGGCCAGCCTGAGCAACCTAGCGAGAGACCATGTCACAGAATTTTAAAAATTAAAATATATATTAAAGCATATTTTTAAAAAATACACACACACTTTTTAAATGTTAGGCATGTAACCCAGTTCTTGTCTGGCAAGTAAGAAGTCCTGGGTTCAATCCCCAGTACCACCAAAAAAAAAGAAAAAGAAAGAAAAGAAAAAGAAAACTGGCAGTAAGAGGGTGAGTTTATGAGGAATGAGGGAAAGGAATGTGCCGATGGAGGAATACAACAAGGGCTCTTGGCCCGTGAGTGCTGAAAGGGGGTTGGAGGAAAAAAGATACAGCTGGAGACGAGCAGAGCCCTGCTGGGCTCTCCCGAGGCGGAGTTAGCCAGAGAACTGTGGTAGAGGTGGAGAGGAGATGCCGGGTCTCTAAGAGGAGATTGGTAAGACAGGCCGCCCATCACCGCCCCCCACTTCCTGGCCAGCCCCGGAAACCAGCAGGCGTTGGGGAGGGGTGGGGGGGATAGCGGCAGCAGCAGCCCCAGCCCTCAGAGACAGCAGAAAGGGAGGGAGGGAGGGTGCTGGGGGGACAACCCCCCACCATTCCTACCGCTATGGGCCCAAACTCCCATTCCCACCTCCCCTCCATCGGCCGGGGCTAGGACACCCCCATATCCTGTCGCCCCCTTGGCACCGACACCCCGACAGAGGCAGAGACACAGCCAGCCGCCACCACCGCTGCCGCAGCCTGGCTGGGGAGGGGGCCGGCCCCCCAGGCCCCCCACCCCACTGAGGTGTGGGCGGGAAAGGGATGGGAGGAAGAGGGAGGAGGGTGCTGAAAGGGACGGAGATGAGGGGATGGGGCTGGGAAGGCCGACAGGGAAGAGGGTTGCTGGGGAAAGGAGAGGGGGCCTGAGAGGAAGAATGAAAAAGACATGGGTGGGAAGAGAGATGGAAACTGAATTTGGAACTGGGGGTGTGGACAGGGAATCCTGGAGAGGGAATTCCCTACACATTCCCCAATTCCTTTTCCTGCCCTTTGGCCCCACATGACTCTTGCGGGGTGGGGGGAGAGGAGAGAAGGCCAGCAAAATTTGATTCCTAGGAATGTCCTCAGGCACCTCTCCCTCTAGGCACAGAACCTTATTTCTCAGTGGCCTTCCACACTGACACTGTAAATTCCTTGCGGGGGGCGGGACATGTTTTCTATATTGGCTGTGTGTCTTTAATGTGTTTGATAGCTTGTGTGCAGCTAGGTTGTCCCTGTTATCCATACATTATAGAGAAATAATGTTTTTTTATTTTCCATCAGAATTGCCCATTCTCATATCTTGTGTCCTTGTGCCACATCCAATTTTGACATGTTCAAGTCCTGCATTGTTTTTTATGTTGCACCTATTAATAGGCGATTTCATGTTACTTACATGTTTTATGCTTTTGCATGTTTAGCATGTAAAGCTTATATACCTTATTTTGTTTGGTCTCAAATGTCCATGGTCAAGACATATGCAGGAGTTTTCCTTTGTGGGATCCATGGAATAACACACACTCTTATACTGTGATGGGATCAGCCTGTTATCCCTGTTATGATTCTTACCAAATGTGCATTCCCCTTCAAATGATGCATGGATGTGATACATCCATAGTGTGTGTGCTTCTGATTACACCTACCATTTATTTAATAAACTTATTGTCAATATGTTTTGTGAGCTGTATGCTCATTAACCATTTGGCACTCCATTGTGTTAATAAATCCTTGGACATTTCTGACCAGAGTGTTACTTAATATCATGTATTATAAACGGTCCAAATCTGCAAAGGACCATGCCTTATCTTGCTGACCTCCTTGGCCTGTGTCTTCACACATTATTTCTCCATTGGCTGTATATAGTTTGTCTGTGGGCTTAATGTGTGTCAGGGTTTAGCCAGCTGTGAAACCCCATCATATTTATTTAAGGACATTATCTATGCCCCACTCTTCATACTGTTGGCACATATTTGGTGATACCAGCGTCCTTCCCCAGTGGCACATTGATCCCATTCTCTCTTATGTATGAGACAATATCGGCATGGTATTTACTCTGCCTTCACTGTGACCATGTATCGTTTATTTTCAGAATAAGTTACTGTGAAGCTTGACATGTTCCATATTTTACTGGTGACTTTTTATAATTAATATTCCTTAAAAAGGTAGCTATCTGATTTGTGATCTGGGCCACCATCTTGGAACTGGTTGTTTAAGCTTAGTGGCAGAGTGCTTGCCTAGCATATGTGAGACCCTGGGTTCAACCCCCAGTACTGCAAAACAAAAACAAAACCATCTCTCAACATTAATTATAGCTGTGTGAATGTGTATACAGCCTTATAATCTGTTGAGCAAATGTTAATATTGAATGCCTACTCCACCTCATACTGTCCTGGCATTGGGGATAGGACAGAATCCCCGTCTTCAAGTTTTTTACAACTTTGGGGAAGAGGTGGATGCCAGTGAGCTGTTAAACTTAGTGTGGTGCAGTGTCAGTGGTTTGAGAACCCAAGTGCATATCAGACTCACCTGGAGAGCTTGTTAAAATACAGATTGCTAGTCCCAGTGCCCAGGATTTCTGATTCAATATATCTGGTATTTCTGGGTTGAGTTCTGAGAATTTGCATTCTATACTTTGAGATCCACTGATAAGAAAATATCTAATGAAAACACAGGCCTTGAGGGGAAGTCATCCAGAAGGTGGAACTGAACTGTGTGAGGCTAGAGAAGAGTCAGAAAGGGCATTCCAGCCAAAGGGAACTGCATGTTCAAGGCACAGAAGCATGAAGGTTCATGGTGCATCTGAGAAACTGAAGTAAATCAGTTTGGAGCAAAAACAAAGCTGCTTTTGAGGATGTGGTGGAAAATATAAGCAGAAGTCAACTTGTGAAGAAGGGCCTTTGGGCAAGACAGAAATATCCAGTACAGAAACATTTCTG